GAAATTGATCAGTCTTGATAGCTTTCGTCAGAGCATCTGCCAACTGTTTTTTAGTGCTATAGTGTACAACTTCTAACACGCCACTCTGAACTTGATGTCTCAGAAAATAATACTTGGTCTCAATATGCTTGCTTCTCCCATGCAACACTGTGTTTCTGGCAAGATTGACTGCAGACTTGTTGTCAATCATCAGCTTCAGAGGTTTGTTTATTTTAATCTTCAGATCCTGCAACAGATTCAGAATCCACACAGCTTGGCATGTAGTAACAGTACCTGCAATGTATTCAGCTTCACAGGTTGATAACGCCACAACAGGTTGCTTCTTGGAACACCAAGAAATGGAAACTCCCAGAAATTTGAACAAGTACCCATAGGTACTTCTTCTGTCAACTCTGTCTCCACACCAATCAGAATCTGAATAACTCAGAAGTTTTGACTCATTCTTTCTTCCAGAAGGAAATAACACCCCATACTTCAGAGTTCCCTTGATATACCTCAGAATCCTTACAGCAGCTTGGTAATGGGACCACTTAGGTTTACTCATGAACCTACTAACCATCCCAACAGAATAGAAAATATCAGGTCTGGTATTGCACAAATACCTCAGAGAACCAACCAACAGTTTGAAGGTTGTAGCGTCCATATCCTTTCCATCAGAGTCAGAATCCAGTTTCTGATTTGTATCAGAAGGTGTGACAACAATCTTGCAATTCTTAAGTTCAAATCTCTTCAGAAGTTCTAATTCATACTTGAGCTAATGCAAAATGATACCTTTCTCAGAATATCTGAACTCCATCCCTAGAAAGTATGTCATTTTGCCTAGATCAGTCATTTCGAATTCATCCATCAGAACTTTCTTGAACTTGGCTATCTCCTGTTCAGAACTTCCAGTCAGCAGTATGTTATCAACATATAAACACACCAGAGTCATATTGCCTTTAGAAGTATGCTGAACATAAACACCGTACTCCATCTCACATTTCTGAAAGCCTTGCTTCTTGAAAAATGGATCAATCTTCTGATTCCAAGCTCTGGGCGCTTGTTTCAATCCATATAGAGCTTTGTATAATCTGTACACCATCCCTTCCTGATTCTTTTTCACAAATCCAGGAGGTTGTGACACGTAAACTTCTTCTTCTAATGGACCGTTCAGAAATGCAGATTTTACATCTAAATGCATCAGAGGCCAATTCCTGTTAGCAGCTATTGCAATCACCATTCTGATTGTTTCATGTCTTGCTACAGGTGCAAACACTTCAGAATAATCCAGCCCAGGTTTCTGTAGAAATCCTCTGGCTACCAACCTTGCTTTATGTTTGCTAATTGAACCATCTGGCTTTAACTTCTGCTTGAAAACCCATACGACGCTGATGGCTTTCTTGTCTTTTGGAAGTTATGTCAGCTTCCAAGTCTTGTTTCTCTCTATAGCATCAAGTTCTTCTTTTATGGCCTTCAACCAGAGCTTCTGCTTAAGAGCTTCTTCTGTACTTATGGGTTCAGAGTCTACTATCATGGCACACTGAATAACTTCTCTTTCTGAGTCTACTTCACTGTCTTGAAGCATGTCAAATTCTGCATATCTTCTGGGGACGTTTCTTATTCTTTGTGGTATTTGAACTTGTTCAGAGTCTTGAGCTTCAGAGTTTCTAGCTTCAGATGATTGACTTCCTCCAGAGCTTTGACCATCTTTAGAGTCTGGCATATTTCCAAAGTCTGAATTGCCACCAAAATCTGGATTGCCATCAGAGTCTGGATCATCAGAGTCACCTTCATCTTCTGAGTCTTCTCCAGAGTCTGAATCACTATCAGAGTCAGAGTCAACGTCAGAGTTTACTCCAACTTCAAAAATTCTTAACTCTGACCTTTCTTTAGAAATTTTAACATCAGAATCAGATTGAGACTTATCCCAATTCCAAACTTCTGATTCCTTCACAATCACATCTCTGCTGAATTCAATTTTATTGGTTTCTGGACAATAGAGCTTGTATGCACCTGTACTGTGATACCCTATCAGAATCATCACTTTGCTTCTATCATCCATCTTCTGTCTTCTAGCTTATGGAACATGTTTATAGCAAACAGAACCAAACACCTTCAGATGACTAACACTTTGCTTATCTCCAGTCCACTTCTGTATTGGAACTATTTCCTTCAACTTCTTCGTAGGACATTGGTTGAGTACATACGTTGCAGTGGAAACAGCTTCTCCCTAGAGCTTCTGAGGAAGCTTATTCTCCTTTAGCATGCTTCTCACCACATCAAGCAAAGTGCGGTTTCTTCTTTCAGCAAGACTATTGTGTTGAGGGGTATAAGGAGCAGTAACCTCATGCTCAATTCCATTCTCCTCACAGAACTTCTGGAACTCTTTGGATTTATACTCACCTCCACCGTCAGTTCTAAGAATCTTCAACTTCTGACCACTCTGATTCTCAGCCTTCATTCTGAACTTCTTGAATTCATCAAACACCTCGTGTTTAAACTTAATAAGGGATACCCATGTCATTCTTGTGAGTTCATCAAAAAACAACACAAAGTATTTATTGCTTCCAATCGATGCTACTGGAAATGGACCACACACATCAGAATGTACAACTCCCAAGGCATGTTTTGCTCTTGGAGCAACTTCTGACGCAAATGGTAATCGTGGTTGTTTTCCTTCCATGCAAACTTTGCATGACTTTTTAGGCTTCTTAATTGCAGGAATTCCATGTACCAACTTCTTTGAATTCAGATGTTTTAAGCTTCTAAAATTGACCGAATCTTCTGTGCCACAGCTCACTCTCCTTCTCAGCACTTGTTGCACTAAGACATTCTGAGTCTGCAGTTCTGACATTCACCTTGAATGTCCTATTCCTTCCCTTACTCCATAATTAACTTCTGATTGCAGTCATACAGCTTCAGAAGATTGTCCTTCATGGTAACTAAAAAACCTTTCTCAATTAATTGTCCCACACTCATCAGATTGCTTCTGATGCCAGGTACATACCACACGTTCTGAATCAATGCTGTTTTCCCATTGTTCAAAACCACTCTGACATTTCCCATACCTTCTGCGTTAAGATATTTGTCATCAGCACATCTGATCTTTGTTCTCTTTTCAGAGTCAGAGTCAACCAGTCATTTCTTGTTTCCAGTAAGATGATTTGAACAGCCAGTGTTCATATACCACCAGTCTATGAGATCCATATCATCAGATTCAGAGGTCATCAATAGCACAGATTCGTCATCAGAACTTCTGGCTATATTTGCTTCTTCTGATTTTCTCTCCTTGTTTGACCAACAATCTCTAGCAAAGTGACCAAACTTCTTACAACAATAACATTGGATTTTCTTCTTGTCATACTTCTCTTTTTCCTTCTGAACATTCTTTTGTCTATCAGAGGTTGAGCTTTCTGACTTCTGACCACTATCAGATCTTCTCCTGGCTTCTAACTGCTTCTGATACCTCCTATCAGAAGTTACTTTTAGAGCCTGCTGCTCTACTTCCTTTTCAGAAGTTCTCTCAGTCAACCGCAACTCTTGCGGTTCTAGACTGCTTTGCAACTCTTCAATTCTCATGGTGCTCAGATCTTTGGAATGTTCTATTGCTACCACAATGTAATCAAATTGAGAGGTAAGGGATCTCAATACTTTCTCCATGATTGCTTCTTCAGAAAGAGTTTCTCCACACGCCTTCATCTCATTAGTGATCAGAATCATTCTGGAGATGTATTCAGAGACTTTCTCATTATTCTTCATGTTGAGATTCTCATATTGCTTTCTCAAGGACTGAAGCTTCACATTCTTCACTGATGCGTCACCACCATAACATTTCACCAGTGTGTCCCACGCAGCCTTTGCTGTCGTTGAATCTGCAATCTTCTCAAACACATTTACATCCACACATTGATGAATGAAGAACAATGCTTTCTGATCCTTCTTCCTTACTTCCTTCTGCGCGTTTTTCTGTTCATCCTTCGCATCTGCGGCTACCGGAACATAACCATCAGTGACAAGATCTAGAACATATTGAGCACCGAACAGTACACGCATTTGGATCATCCAACGATTCCAATTTTTACCGTCAAATACTGGAAGTTTTGTGTTCATGTTGTCGTTTTCGTTCATCTTCTACCTTACATAGTACACTCAGATTTCTCACACAGTGTTTCCCAACCCACAGAATTAAAATTCTGATCAGATTTTGTTCAAGATTCAACACGAATCTAAGAAAAAAAATCAAACACACAAGGCCTCACGTTCACTCGTGTTTCCCGTGTTTCCCAATGAATCCGAACTGGAGCTCTAGATACCACTTGTTGGTGCAAAGGTGAATAAATGATGAACAGAGAAATATTCTATTAAAGAGAATGACGGCTACACAACTCACTTAACATTACAATGATTGCAACCCTATTTATAAGTTAAAACTAAGGTTAATAGAATAAGATAAAATAGTAAAATATCCTCTAACAAATTTAAAGGTTAAGTAATAGTACAACTAAATATGAATTACTTCTAATAAAGAGTACATGCAAAAACAAAGTAATGGCATAATACATGCAAAAATTATATAAGTAAGAATATAGAAAAACAATATTGCGACTGCAATGACCTGTGCACATCGCAATTAAAAACATGGTAGAAAGTTGACCGACACGGTGTTGGTATATGTACAGAATTTAGTTATGAACCACTTGTATAGGTTGGTAATTAGGACGTTGATGTTTTCTCACCACAACTTAAACAGAATTAAGTTATAAACCATTTGTATAAGTTGGTAATTAGGACGTTGATGTTTTCTAATGAAATGTTTTCTCACCACAACTTAAACAGAATTAAGTTATAAATCATTTGTATAAGTTGGTAATTAGGTTGATGTTTTCTAATGAAATGTTTTCTCACCACAGTTCCCTTTTGTGGCTCTTGTGTATCGATTTATATAAATGTGAGCACTCTCCCAACATAAAATAATACAAAACCCCAACTACAACTAAATATTGGTAGCCAAAATTCATACAATGTTGCTAAGTTCATCATTTGTTTCACTTCCTAGTTTCTTCAAACCTCAACTACCAAAAACTAATCTTCCTAGTTCAAATGGTTCTCTCTTTCCATGTTATGCTACTAGTTCAAATATTTCTCAAAGAAAATCTGCCAATTATCAACCCAATATCTGGAATTATGATAGTTTATTATCCTTAAAACACGATTATGCGGTAATAATATAGTGATAGATTTAGAGAAAAAAATTTCATTTTTTCTATCTAAAATGTTCTTACTAAATTATTTTTGTTTTTTTAATGATTATTAGGATGTCAACTACGTAAATAGGAGCAGAGAGTTGCAAGAGGAAGTAAGAAAGATGATCAATGATGAAAATGTAGAAATTTTAGAATTATTAGAAAATGTGAAACGCTTAGGCCTTAGCTACCACTTTGAAAAGGAGATAATAGAAGCACTTGATAGATTTTTGTCTTTGGAAAAACATGGCGATATAGTTATTGAAAAAAGTCTACATAAAACTGCCTTAAAATTCAAACTTCTTAGAGAATATGGATATCATATTTCCCCAGGTACAATATCTACATTCTTTTTCATTTTCATTTTATATAAAGAATAGTTAGAGCCAATCTATAAAAAAAATGTCATTCCATTATCATTACTTAGCCTTGACCGATCACTATTAATATTTTAAATTAACATTTGAGACTTTTGCTTTTAATATATAGATATTTTTGAGAAGTACAAGGACGACGATGGAAATTTTAAGGCATGTCTTGTGAAAGATATTAAAGGAATGTTAAGTCTTTATGAAGCTTCGTTTATGTCTTATGAAGGAGAAATAATTTTGGATGAAGCAAATTCATTCACAAGCTTCTATCTGAGACGAGGACTTCATGATAATATATCTGATTTTCTCTTTGAACAAGTGAATCATTCATTAGAACTTCCAATACATCGTAGATTTCAAAGACTTGAAGCCCGATGGTATATTGAGTCATATGAAAAAAGAAAGGATGCAAATAAAGTGTTGCTTGAAGCTGCTAAGTTGGATTTTAACATTGTGCAATCAAATCTTCAACAGGATCTTATAGAAATGTCAAGGTAAATTATACAAAAACAACAGTCAAATTTTTATATCTTTTATTATTCTATATATATTTTTAAACCTAACTTTTTTTTCCTATCTTTGTCATTCTATCATAGAAATCATAACTCTCTATTCAAGGTGTACTTGATTTCAATATTTCTTTTAAAATTTATCAACTAGAATATTATTGAAATTCTGTATTAAAATGTTGATTTGTATATACACAAATTTGTTACTTTTATTTTGAATTTTGTCAAATTTAAAATATATATTTAACTAATTTTTTTATTTAAAACTCTTAATTTCATTTTAGTTACATTATGCAAATTTTATTAAATTTTGGCTCAATTTCTTTTTTATACATTAATGAAGGTGGTGGAAGGGAACGGGACTAGCTTCAAGGTTAGGCTTTGGTCGTGACAGGTTAATGGAATGTTTTTTTTTGTCTGTTGGAATGGCACCCTTAGATCCCAAATTTAATGATCTCCGTAGAGGTTTAACTAAAGTGTTCTCTTTAATAACTTTAATTGATGACATTTATGATGTATATGGAACTTTAGATGAATTAGAGCTTTTCACAAGAGCAGTAGAAAGGTATCTTTTTTACTTATTAATTTTCCTTTGAGTAAATTCTTCAGGGGTACATGAAAATATTCTTCTTATCAATCTACAATATGATGTCTCTTTCAGTTGGGATATTAATGCAATTAAAGTTCTTCCTGAATACATGAAGATATTCTTTTTAGCACTCTACAACACTGTCAATGAATTAGCGTACGACGCACTTAAAGAAACAGGACATGATATCCTTTCCTACCTCGTCAAAGCTGTACGTATGAACTAACTAACTGAAAGTTTATTATTTTTACTAATAAATTTGATTTGGTGTTTGTTACAAAATTAAATTAATTACAGTGGTCTGATATGTTGAAAGCGTTCCTACAAGAAGCAAGGTGGTGTGATGATAAACACATGCCAAAATTTGATGACTACCTCAAAAACGCATCGGTGTCTATCTCCGGTGTTGTTTTACACACCCATTCCTATTTTCTACTGAATCATACCATCACAAAAGAAGGACTTGAGTATTTGGAAAATTTCCATAAGGGCTTACAGAGACCATCCATTATTTCTAGACTTTGCAATGATTTCGCAACTTCATCGGTAAGATTAATTTTTAAGATTGTACTTTAGCATCTCTACAATTACACTTTATATATTAATAACTTTTAATTTCATAAATTTGTTGTTGTAAATGTGTCTTAAAATCTTTGTTGGTGAATAGAAAGAAAATATATTTTGGGGATTGTATTTACCACGAAAATCGGACGAAAAGTCGAGAAAAAAAATCGGTCGGTGAATAGTATTTTCCGTATGGATGAATAGTGTTATTCGTACGGATGAATAGTAACGTCTGTATGGTGAATACGTTGTCCGTACGGTGAATAGTATTTTCGAGTTTTCGGACTTTTTCGATTCGGTCCATGGATCCATGTGATTTTGGGCTTTGTTTGTTGGGTATTTGCTATTATAAATACGTATCTCTTATATGTTTGGTGTGTGACAATCTTAGAATTTTCACTAACAAGAGAGACCAAGGGTTTAAAGGTATAACATAGGGTTTCAGCTATGCACAAAGAAAATCTTGGATTACACATTGGGTTTAAGTGATTCATATACTCTCTCCCTTAAAGTAGATCGTTTGATCGAACTATTTTTTTCTTGCCTTATTTTGTTATATTATTTGTGTACAGATTATTATTGCTGAAGACCGTTTATTTTGGTTGCTATTGTTCTTTGTCTCATAAATTGATATTTAATTTTGTCGTAATTCACAACAAAATTCACAACATTTGTAATATAATTTTGTAGGCGGAGTTTCAAAAAGGTGAAACAACAAATTCTATTATGTGCTACATGAATGAAAATGGTGTTAGTGAGGAGGTCGCTCACACACACATCCAGGAAATACTTAATGAAGTTTGGAAGAAGATGAACAAAGACCAAATTATGGATTCAACTCTTCCAAAATATTTTTTAGAAACATTAATCAACCTTGCTAGAATTTCTCACTGCGTGTATCAATATGAAGATGGGCTTGGAGCACCAAAGACCATAGTAAAGAATCAAATAATGAAGTTAATACTTGAACCTATTAATTAAACTTGTTGAGACATAATTAATATTGAGGATTTCTTTTTCCACCCTATATGTTAACCACCTTATGAGTTTCCAAAAATGTCTCCCGTTTTCAGAGATATATCTTTAGAAGCATCCTAATACACACATTTTATTCGTTTTTTAGTCAGATCTCAATTTTATAAATAAATTTATTTCAGAAATATAACTCTGGAAAGTTTCCGAAATATATTCTCGAAAGAATAAAAAAAAACAGAAATATAGTGTAAAAAGGAACTTGTGTAGCTTTATGTATCAATTGAAAATGAAAACAAAAAAAGAGAGGGTGAAAGTCATGACTAGCTTTTTGTTCTTGTCTGGATTCACATGTTGTTAATTTTTTGTATTACCTTTTTCCACTCTCAATTTGCGATGACCCAGTTCGGTGCAAATCACCTACATCCAGGGGCTACCAAGGCAGGAATGAATTCACTATTATAAGTATTAGTTTATAGGTAAACTCCTCCGTTTACAACTCCACACTTAATCATTACCTAATATAATTCTATATAGAAATCACCATCTAGATAAGAGAACCCCATCTCAAATCCTAAATCACCTCAGTGATATGTAACACTTACAATCTTCAGCAGCTACATCAGACTGTGCAATTGAAAGACATTCTTTCCAATATAATATTCAGTCAAGACTCTTGACTAACAACCATGCATGAATTTGCTTAAAAGCTTCATCCAAGAACAATACACAATTCATTACCCACAGATTTCTGAATTTGTAAAACTATGTCTACCACAACGTATCAATCGATACAAAGGGTGACTTACAACACAAGAAAGTAAACGACTCTCAAAACCCTAAATCCTTGTTTTTCTACTTTACAAAAGTCTTAATAAGAATTCTTATTCTACCCTAGATCTTAGTCTTCCTTTTAAAGCCTTCAGTTGTCTATGGACTTTGAAGTCTCTGTTTAATCTTCTCTTAACCCATGTTTTGATTGCTCCTTAAATCTTGGAACTGATCTGCAACAAATCTGTTGCACTAAATTAGGATGTCGAGTCCACAATACAAGGACATCTTGACTAACATGTCTTCTTTCAACAGATTTCTTCTTGTTGGAATATTTTGTGCAACATCATGTTTTACTAAAATTTTAATTAAATCTTTAGAGTCTTCAAAAATATTTAATTTTAAATTTTTCCTCAGGCCTTGAGATGTGTTGGACTGGCCCTAGATGACAGTGGTTTCAAGCAAGCTTTTTATTGGAGGTGTGACTTTTGTTTTAATTCCTTATTATTGTAATGACAATATGCTATTGACTTTAGTTTCTAATTCAAGTATCGTGACTTTCACTCTTTTTTTTTCTTTCAATTTTCAATTGATACAAAAAGCTATACTTGTAAGTGGATCCTTACATTAAATTTCTGTTTTTTCTTTTTTTTCAAATACATTTTCGAAATTTTTTCGGATATGTATTTTTGAAATAAATTTATTTATACAATTAAGATCTGATTAAAAAACAAATAAAATATATGTATTGGGTGCGTCTAAAAATATAACTCAAAAAATTAAAAATATTTTTAGAATTTCGTGAGTGTCTAAAAAATATATAAACTGCGTTAAAAAATTGCCTTAATATATATTTTATACTCTAGTCTGATAAAATTGTTACATTTTCAATGTAATTTTAGAAATGTAATTTCAATCCTTCAAATGAACACATTTTAATATATAGTGATTTAAACTACCATAATTTACAATAATATTTTTTATCACCCAAGTCTCAAACTACCATGTTAATGTTTCTCCTTTTGCAAAGTCGGCCTAATCAATTTAGAAGTTCCGTTTAAATTTTAAAATTAAAGACTTAAAAGAAACTATCTTTTTAAACTGTAAATAATTTTATAAACTTAAAAATATATTAATAAATATTTTAACTAGAATTTAACATATATAACTATTAATTTTATATATTTTTTTATAAAATTTGTCTATTTATCAAGTTTTTGCTCCCAAATTAATCTTAACGCGTGTCAATTTAAACTACTAGATAAATAGTTATATGTATTATTTTGCATATGAAACCTTTAAAATCTTAAAACACAATATCAAATATCTGATGGAACGTGTACATACAAATTTTAATACTCTCTAATATCAATATATATTTTTAATAATATATTAGTATTTCTCATTAGAATATAGTAATATACATATAGAATTTATTAAGAGCTTATACAATAATATAAAAGAAAGATAAGTTAGTGAGAAATATTATAAAACTTTATCGGTAATAACTTAGACAAGATTAAGTTAGATTGTAAAAAAATATTTAATCTAATAATTTAATTTATTAAATTAGTATTTATTTAATTGTAGTGATTTAATTAAAATAATAATACTTGTTCTGGATTGGGTCGACGCTTAGTCCACAGTCGAGCAAGTCCAAAACCCACCGGGTTGGAAGGTCCAATGAGACCTCATTGTCGGGCCGAGGTCTGTCGGACAGAGCACCTTCTCCCGTCGGCATGGACCAGCTGCGTCGGGCGGAACCCTTATATCTGCCCGACTTGCCTCCCCTCTGTCCCCCGTCGGACAGAACCCGTCCAGCTCGACCAGTCCCTCTGACCTCGCCCACGTTCTCTACGTGTCCCCTACGCGGGGACACGTCATCAAGTAACTACCCGTGTCCTGGCAATTCGGTCTTCCACTTTTTGGATAGCACGGGACAATTACACTAGGGCGAAGACCACGTGCTGGTTTTCACGATGCCACGTCAGCCCTAGCAGTTACCAACGTTGGGCCTGGCAGCCTAACCCAACGCGCGGTAACCGTTGGTCCTGCGCTGGTGGCTCATTATAAATATCCTTTTCCACTAGAGGGTCAGGTAACCTAATTTTCTCACTATTTTCTCTGTACTTGTTATCACTCTGCTCGTCGCTTACTTTGCCATCGGAGTGTGTTTCAAGTATACCCCCTCCCTCTCTGTCCATCAAGTCAACAGTTCGACAGCTCAGACGTGTGGCAGCCCATCGATCTATCTGATCAGGTACGATCAGTGGCGCCGTCTGTGAGAAATCTAAGCTTCCCCCCATTCCTCCGAGCAGAAGAACCAAAGCATCCTATTTTCAAATTCCGAGATCATGACTAGCCCATGTCACGACGATGCTGTCCACAACTCCGCCCTCATCCCAATCACCAATGGCAAAGAACAGGCGGGGACCTCCCACACCCGTGAGGGCGATACCGGGGACGGTCAGATCGCCTCTCCCTCGTTCGAGGACGCGTCACATTACGTCGCACCTCGAGCAAGGAGCCCGGCTGTCTTCCAGCCTGTTCCTACGCCAGCTGGAGCGGACCCAATGATGACTGTCCTCTTCGCAGCCATCAACCAAACAAACCTGATGTTGTTCCAATAGAATGAGCGCATCGGCACGCTGGAACAGGATACCTCATCCTGCTCTCCCCCGCGCAGAAATCAACGCGGGAACTCTCGGAGCCTCTTCGACACGACCCGTCGCCTCTGCACTCCCCTGTCCGCAGTGACGAAGACGACTATAGGACCCCTTATCACGGGAGATCATGGCAACCCCCACGGGATGGAGAACCCGCCCGTACTCTCCACGTACGACGGTACCTCAGATCCGGACGATCATCTAGAGGACATCGAAGTCATGCTTGATTACAGGAACGTCCAGGGAGCCATCAAGTGCAGGCTCTTCCCGACGACGCTGAGGAAAGGGGTCATGGCTTGGTACAAAAGCCTGGAACCCGAGTTCGTCACGTCTTGGAGGTTCCTGAAGGATCTTTTTCACAGCATTTCACGGCATCATGACGGCATCCTTAGACGGATGCCGCCCAGGGCGCAATCATCCAGGCCCCGGATGAACCTCTCAGAAACTACATTGAGAGGTTCACGAGGGAGGCGGTTCAGGTAACGACTTTCAACGATATGAAGCGCTACCTTATGGAGCAAGGCCTACGCCACGGCTCCAAATTCTACAAGGTCGTGGCAATCCATTGGCCAAACACCTTACAAGGCTTCCTCGAGAAAGCTCGCCATTACATCCGGTGCAAGGAAACCGAGACCCCCAATGCTGCCCGAGAATCTCGCAACCGCGAAACCTCCCGCGGGTCCCGAGAAGAGGGAGCGTCAGCCCCCCGACATGGAAGAGACCGACGACGAGAGGATCGTCCCCGAGAACCCCAGGAGCAGAGGGGCCCTACTGGCCGCTCTATCAAATACACCGCCCTGGTTGCTTCCTGCGAGCGCATACTGGCCGAGTGTGCCAACTCGGAGTTCGTCCGAAGAGGTGTCCGCTTTCCCAAACCGGCACCCCCCAAAGCCAACGTGGATAAGTCCAAATACTGCCGCTTCCACCGAGGATACGAGCACGTTACAGAGGACTACATCCACCTAAAGGACGCAATCGAAATACTCATCAAGGATGGACACTTGGAGAGATACACTAGGGGAGGAGATGCACCCCGCCAAGAGTCCTCGAAAGCCAAGAAAGTTGAGGACACCCCTCCTCCTGCCAACGAGTCCGGGCTAGAAGTGGCCCTCTGCGTTGATCTCCCCGAAGACTGGTTCTCAATGAGGGAACACGGCCTCCTGGTCGGGCACGATCTACCCGAGGAACCGGTACGCCCAATCAGCCCGTGGGAATACTTTCCCAAGGCGATGGTCATCTCGGGCGGTACCCCAAGCAAGCTCTCGATCGGGTCTGTAAAAAGGAAGTTTGACGAGCTGATGAACAACAACTCCGGAAAAATAAGCACGCTCGACAAATTCCATGGCCGATCAAATCCGATCACATACTATCTCAAAGAGCTCCCCGGGGGAGCCCCAAACTCGGTCATCCCCTTACTGATACGAGCACAAATGGCTAATTTCGATGTCCTCTACATCCTGGTCGACGAAGGGAGCTCGGTGGATATCATGTATACCCACCTCTTCTCAACGCTACAGCTCGACGAGACTAACTTAACTCCCTACCTGGGCTCCGACCTCCAGGGCTTCAAAG